GGGGAATGTCAGTCAACTAAGAATAACAAAGACATACACACCTCAACAAGGGATTCTCAATGAGTTTTAACTTTTGTTTCAACTGTTCAATCTCTGAATACAATTTTAACCCTTCCACCATGGAGATGTTTTCCTGCTCAGAATCAGAGCTACAATTTGACAAGCTGCTTCTCAAATTTAAAAACCTCCTGTAACTGTCCTCACACTGAGACAGCAGGCTGCGGTAGTCAACCGTGAGTCCTGAAGGAACTCGGTCCTCAAGTATGTCATAGTGCCTGAAAGTGAAAAAGGAAGTTAAAATCCAGTACCTTCCAGACACATTTTCCAACCAATAATCTTCAAGATTCAATAATAAATAGAAATATCACATGTTCCAGCAATCCCACAGCTAGGTACATACTCTAGAACAAAAAGAGCGCTGTTGTCCATCACAGCATTATCCACTATAGCAAAAAGCTGTAAAACCACTGAGGTGCCCACCAACGGATGAGGGTACAGAAACACAATGGAATACTATGCAATGGTAAAGAATAAAGTTGGAAAATAATTGCTTTATTCCTCATTTAAAAGTACCAATTAAATTAATGTCTGGAGGTAAAGAGATGCCTTCCTGGTGATTCTAATATATAATAACCAAGGTTGAGAGGTATTGCCTCAAGTGCTTTTCTTTTTGTCTTAGTCATGCTCCAAACAAACTGTTGTTGCTGTTAGTCCCACTGGCTCAGTTCTGACTCACAGTGGTTCCTCGCACAGCACCACAGCCCGGTCCTACATCCTCCTCACAATCACTGCTGTGCACCCACTACGTCAATCCAGTTCATCCAAGGCCTTCCTTTGTCACTCACCCTCGATTTTTTTAAGATAGGAGGAAAACAAAATAGAACCATAGTCTAAACAAATGAACACCACATTATGGTGTATTTAAAATAAATAAGTATTTTAAGCAAACAAATAAATGCTTCCACTCTTCAGATAAATGAATTAAGTGTAAAAATCAAGAATCTTGTCTGATTTAGTTCATCCATATTCATTTCAAGATATTCTGAAAATTCACTTTCCAAACAAGAAATAAAGAATCAAATCACTGACCGCTTGACCAGGTCAATTAAGTGGTAAAGATTAAGACTTAGATGTTAAAAATAAGCATCTTAGCCTTTCCAATACCCAGGCCAATCAGCTTATTTCTTCTTACCACATGGATACTTCATCATCTAGAAGCAATGAACTAACATCTGTGTGTCTCAGACCTACTGGGTTTGAAGCAAAGTGCTTTGAATTAAGGAGGAAAAATATTTACCGCACAGTAAAAAATCAAAATAGAATCATGTCTACTGATGTGGTAAGTGCCGTTGAGTCAGTTCTGAGTCACAGCCAACCTGCATAGGGTTTCTGAGGAGCTACTGGGAAGTTTGAACTGCCGACTTTATGACTACTAGTCCAATGCTTATCCTACAGCACCACACCAGGGCTCATGTCTATTGATGTTGTTGTTGTTGTTAAGTGCCGTCGAGTAGATTCTGACTCATAGTGACCCTGTATAGGGTTTCCAAAGAGCAGTTGGTGAGTCTGAGCTGCGGAACACTTGTGGTCCACATAGCACCACTCTTATCTTATTCCAAAGAGCTCCTTATTCTCCCTACATCTGATAACATCTGATCCCTGATTCTCAACCAAGAGCCACAGTTTCTTCTCCGTAGCTGACACAATTCTTCCCGTATGCTATCCCATCTGCCGTACAAGGCATACCTGTAAATCATTCCTTGTTGTTAGCACATGGAAGGCTGTCAAATGGGAAAACAATTATTCCCAGGTAAAGATCAAATCTGGCAGAAACACATGATATTCATCTACCATTACATCTCACTACAATTAAAAGCAATCATTACGCTTTAAGAACAAATGTCTCAAACCTAGAACAATTTTGGCATTTCATTAAATACACTATGAAAGTATGGGAAATATACAATAAAAAAATTGGGGAAAGGGCTCAACAAAAATCATAGTCAATCAATCTATGGGGAGCTGAGATAAGACATACATAATTCTAACAAGACTCTTCAAATATTTTTATTTATTTATTTTATTATTTACTCTTTAAGTCGAGACTAAATCAAATTGGATTTCCCAGAAACATAAAGGGTTATACTATGTAACAAATCATCTTTTACACTGGGAAAAAATTCATCTTCTCCATTTTTTTAATGCAAGTTCTAATTTCATTCTGATTTTAGCACTGCCTATTAAATCACCTCTCATGAATATAAGGAAAAATTACCTGGTCTTAGAACACCATCTAGTGGAAGGCCTAAAGTCACACTAGATAGGTCTATGTAGAACACTTGTGTATTTTTGTGTGGAAGGATTTACCTACCAAAATGATAAATTAGAAGAAGAATGTGTTTAGGTATTTTGGAATTTTTATTCACCACCAGCATCAACTATTTAGTGTTTTCATCTACTTGTCAAATTAAGATATAAGAAAAATGTGCTTGACAAAAATGTGTTGAATGAAGTCTGTTCAGTTTAGTGTGTTTTGCTGTAGGAACATAGAGCTTTACAGAGAGTAAAGCTATGTAGCTTTTAAAATACTCCTTAAAAAATTAAAGCAAAAAGTATTCTATAATCTTACTGTTTCTCAACCAACTGTCTTTTAATTTAAACAAAGGGGTTTTAACATACAAGTTCAGCTGGATTTCATTTAGTTGAGCAAAGCTATTAACACAGGCATTCTTGAACTCTCTGTTTATAAACACTGTAAACTTTCTTTCTACACTTGTACAAGTTTCATTTATAACTTGTCAATGGGTTTCACTATTTGTTCTATTGTTATATTTCTATCTATGGGTCCCTACCCTACACACTTACAGATACACATACACACACATATGTTACACAGGTAAAGTTAAACTGATAAATGTTTTTCCAAAAATGTATGAAGGTCAACAACAAATATTTACAATCTCAGTCGAGGTTCAACACATCTGACAAAATAATCATATTCATCCTCTTCTTCTTCATCCCAACTCCTCCAAATGTTTTGGTAGAAAAACCTAAAAAAGAAATTAGTATCATCACAATCCAATCACTGGCTAAAAATGTCACTATTTTGGAGGGGTGAAAGCTGCACTGTTTTGAGTAAATTAAAACATGTTATCAACTATAGCAAACACTATACAACAGACCCATGCTAAATCACCACTGAAAACTCATGAGTCGCATGACAGGGGTCTTCTTTTGATCTACAAGAATGGTTCAGCTAAGATTTCTTTTTCTTTTTTTCTTTCAGAACTGTTTCTGTGTCATCTGTAACTGGGTAGATGGGAATGCCGCTTACTGAGGTCAAAGAGAGTCGGGGTTGAAAGTAGAGTTCCATTTCACAGCAGAAAAACGGTGAGATGTCTATTTGGCATCCAGGGAGGTGATGGCAAGTGGGCAGATGACTCTACAAGTCCAGAGCACCAGGGAAAGGGCAGGAAGGGAGATCATCCTACCTAAGAGCTGTCACTGATGGCAGTAAGACAGTAAATACATGAGATTATCTAGGGACATATGTCAAGCAGTAGTTCCCACCCCTACCACACATTAGAGTCCCCTGGGAAACTGTTTTAAAAGCATTGGTATATTTTTTAAGGTGATCGTTTGTGACAAATTTTTATTACAGAAAATTTCAAGCACACACAAGAGCAGCTGAGAGAAAACTGTTCTATATATATGTATATGTATATGTATATATATATATAAAAGGAGCTCTGGTAGCGTAGTGGTTACGAATCGGGCTGCGAACCTTAAGGTCAGCGGTTCGAAACTACCAGCTGCTCCACAGGAGAAAGATGAGGCTTTCTACTCCCGTAAGGATTTACACCCTCGGAAACCCTGTACAGGGTCGCTATGGGTCGGAAACAACACGACGGCACTTAACAACAACTATATATATATATATATATATATATATATATATATATCTCCACCATCCAGCTTCAACAATGTAACTGCAACAACCATCAACTGATGGCAACTTGGCTTCACCTCTATCTCACCCACCGACTTCGCTGCCTCCCTCCCCTACTAGCCTGACATTTTGAAGCAAACCTTAGACATACGAGGGAGCTTCAAAGAGTTCATGGAAAAATGGAATTAAAGCATAATGGAATTTTCCCACAGATTTTTCGGAGCCCCCTCACAGGTCATTCAAAAAAGTTTTATGTGTGCCTCTAAAAAATAACTTTTTACCAAAAAAAACTGATGAATTCTTACGTATCTCATCAAAATGTCCCCAATTGTCTCGTCTGTTGTTACTGCTGGGGCGCTGCTGTTGTTTTATAGTCGGCTGGTTCAAACCAGGACCCCAACATTTAGCTGACTGCCTTTGAGTTGATTCTGACTCCAGGACCCTACAGGGTAGAACTGCTCCACAGGGTTTCCAAGACTGTAAATCTCAATGAAAGCAGACTACCTCGGCTGTCACTCGAGCAGTGCCTTGGTTCAAACCACTGGCCAACGCTTAATCCACGGCGCCACCAGAGCTCATTTAGTTAACACTTCTCTTAAATCACTTTTATTCTATAGATTATTCTTTCTCCTTGAAATTTCATAGCTTCCAATACTATGAATTTTAGTGATTTTATCCCCCTGATGTTTCACAACTTCTTCTACTTCCTTTATTTCTAGTAAACTGGTAGGATGATTTAGAGACTTGACCACCTTCAGGCAAGAATCCTTCAAGGGAGATAAGTATTTTCATCAGGCCACAGGAAATGCCCAATTGTGCCTCTTTTTAAATCGCCTGTGGAGATGTTTGCACATATGTGTGAATACACTAAAAACCATTGTACTATACACTTTAGTGGGTGAATTGTATGCTATGTGAATACAGTAAATAAAGCTGGTTTAAAAAACAAAAGAAGATGGCAGTTATCAAATACCAGGAATGTGGCTGAGAGGTCAGGCAAGGTGAGATCAGACAAGATTGGATACAAGAATGTGGGTCCATTGAGTGACCTGGATAAGTACAACCCTCCCTCACCCTGCCCCTGCCCCCAGGTGAGTTGTGGACAGAAACATGACTGGGTTACGAGTAAGTGTAGGCCATGACTATGTACCATGTTTAAGAAGTTCTGCTGCATAGAGGAAGGGGCAGTGAAGTGGAAATCGTCCCTTAATTCTTGCAGATAGTTGGGTTACCAATCTCTTCACCCTTTAAGCCCATCCTTTAAAAAAGAAAATGAAGTCAAGCACCGGTCTACTCAACTAAAACCCTAAGCTGGTGGCCTGAACCCAAAGTCCTGAGCTTGGTGATAATGCAGAGATTCAGAATCTGATTCTAAACCACCTCCCCTCCTCAGAGCTCCTGCACGCCACCTATACGCTTGTCTTATACCCAACCCAGCCCCCAAGAAACTCCCAATTTCAGAAACACCAAGTTCCTCCAGTGCTCGAAACCCCTGTAATGTGCTGGTCAAGCTGCCACAGTGCCTTTCCTCTCCTCCAGCTGGTGAACTGAAGCTTACATTTCACGGCTCAAATCTCTTCTTCCCCAGCAGGACCAGACATTCAGAGATCATTCACAGCTGCACCCCCCACCCCCAGGGTTTAGTCTCTCAAACCAGAACCCTGGGTGTCAACCTTGACTTCTCCTTCACCTTGATCCCCCAGATCTACCTGGTTGTCTCTGGACATTCTACTAGACCAATAAGTCTCAACTGTTCTCCTCCATATCCCTACTCTGCTCCATGAATGCCTCTGACCTGGCCTCCACCTTCCAACTCCCTCCATGTTTGTGTGGTAAAATATATTTAACAAAACATCTCCATTATTTCTACATATACAATTCAGAAACAATCTAAAGAGTAGTCATTTAAAACGCAAAGCTAGTCATCCTCACCTTGAAAGGAAGTCCTGCAGTGGCTCCCACAGCTTTAAGAAGACAAGAATGACTCATTGCACTTCGAAGTCCTGTGCCTTTAGGCCCCTGAAATTATGTTTGTGCTCCAGCCATGCTGGCCTTTCAGCTCCTTAAACTCACCAAGCTCTCCCTCCTCAGCCCTGCCACAACCACTTTCACCTGACTAATCCCAGAGACCCAAGTTCAAATGCCATGTCCCCAGGAAACTTTGTTGACCCCTTAACTAAATAACAGTGGCCTGACCTAGTCTTGGAGTCCCTGGATGGTGCAAATGATTAACAAACTCAACAGCTAATCAAAACATTATGAGAATTGGATTCCTCTATACCAATAATGACAGTGCTGAAAAGGACATTAGGAAAGCAATACCATTTACAATATTCACCCAAAGGATGAAATATCTAGGAATAAATATAACCAGAGAAACAAAAGACCTATACAAAGAAAACTACAAAACACTACTATGAGAAACCAAAAGAGACTTACAAATATGGAAGAATCTACCATGCTCCTGGATAGGAAGACTTAACATTGTGAAAATGTCAATACTGCTCAAAGCAATTTACACAAATAATGCAATCACAATCCAGATTCAATAACATTCTTCAAAGAGATGGAAAAAACTATTACAAACTTTATATAGAAAGGAAAGAGACCCAGGATAAGCAAAGCACTGCTTAAGAAGAAGAATAAGGTTGGAAACCTCTCACTTCCCAATTTAAAAATTTATTACACAGCTACCATGGTCAAAACAGCTTGGTACTGGTACAATGAAAGATAAACTGATCAGTGGAACAGAATTGAGAATCCAGAAATTAACCAATCCACATACAGCCAACTGATTTTCGACAAAACACCTAAATATATTGCATGGGGAAGTGATAGTCTCTTCAACAGATGGTGCTGGCAGAACTGGAAAGCGATATGCAAAAGACTAAAACAAGACCTTCACCTCACACCTTATACAAAAACCAACTCAACATGGATTAAAGACCTAAATGTGAATCCCAGAATTATGAAGGCCATCAATGAAAAAATAGGGACAAATGTGAGGGCACTAATTCAGGAAATACACAGACTACCAAACATTTTGAAAACTACACAAACAAAAGTAGACAAAATAGATGATTGGGCCATACTAAAAATTAAAAACTTAATGTACATCAAAAGACTTCACCAAAAGAGTACAAAGGGAATCCACAGAATGGGAAAAAATCTTTTGCAACGACACATTAGACAAGGGATTAATTACTAAAATATGTAAAAACTACAACACCTCTATTAGAAAAAGACAAATAACCCAATTAAAAAATGGGCAGAGGACATGAATAGGCACTTCACCATGGAGTAGATCCGGGCAGCCAATAAACATATGAAGAAACAAATGCTCACGATCACTAGCCATTAAAGAGATATGCAAATCAAAGCAACAATGAGATATCATCTCACATCAGCAATAACATCAAAAATCAAAAAGGTAGAGGACAATAAATGCTGGCGAGGATGTGGAGAGACCGGGACACTCCTACATTGCTGGTGGGATTGCAAAATGGTCCAAACACTCTGGAAAGCAATGTGGCGATTCCTCAGAAGGTTAGAAATAGAAATACCTTATGATCCAGCAATTCCTCTACTTGGTACTTACCCACAAGAAATACAAGCCATAACATGACTAGATATATGCACACCAATGTTCACAGCAGCACTATTGACAATAGCAAAAAGATGGAGACAGCCTAAGTGCCCAACAATGGAAGAATAGATAAACAAACTGTGGTACATACACTCAATGGAATACTATGCTACCTTGAAGAACAACAAGGAAGCTGTAAGCCACCACATAACATGGATGAACCTTGAGGACATTATGTTGAGTGAAATTAGTCAGTCACAAAAAGGATAAATACTGCATAGGACCACTACTGTAAAAGACTAAGAAAAAGAACCATACTAAAAGGGGGGTGGGGGAATAATTCTTTACTGGTTACTGGGATGTGGGGGGTGAGGGGAGGGGAGGGAGGGGAAGGTGGAGAACAGGGTAGAGAATAGACACAGGATAGTTTGGGTGCTGGGGAGAGGGGGGAAAATGGAAGAACAGGGTGGATGAGAGAACAGTTAGGCAGGTTTGCATGGGCTAAGTGGGACAGAGGTAAATAATGATGAATGTACAACCTTGGAACAACAGGGATTGATTGAGGCATGGTTTGAATGGGTAAAAGGAGGGAAATAATGTTAAGATGCTTGAGCTGTCTTTTATTTCTTGGTTTCCCTTGTATACCATTGTAAAATAGACACTTGAAGTGGAGAGAAAGGAATAGCCAGAAATATCACCATAAGGAGCTCTAATAGCGTAGTGGTTACAAGTCAGGCTGCTAACCTCAAGGTCAGCAGTTCGAAACTACCAGCGCTTTCATGGGAGAAAGTTGAGGCTTTCCGCTCTGTATTGATTTACAGCCTCGGAAACCCTAAGCAGGGTTGTTATGAGTCAGAACCAACTCCAAGGCATACCACCACCATCACCATAGAAAGCTTGTAAGTCCATCTTCTGCCTAAATGGAATACCTAAAACCGGGCTACAACTTGTCCAGTGAAGGAGGCTTCCTGGGGAGCCTTTGCATTGCATAAGACCATAAGTGGAATCCTGAGTCCAATCCAGAATCTTCTGAGGTGGGAAATCTCCACTTGAAAGGGCAAGCAGACCAGCCTGGAGCAGCTAGAAGAACAGGAGATACTTCTTGAAAGAAAGACCGACAGGAAAAATGAAAAACATAACGGCAGTCTGACTGACAAGAACAAGCAAGTTGCTGGCCCAGGAGACATCAAGGCAAGTGGTTGTGTCCCCTCAGGTTAAAATCCCTTCCAAGACTAAGACTCAAGGGGAATACACAAGCGGGCATGTGGTCTGACTGGTGACCACATCGGTCACCGACAAGGGTAAGTGAGGGAAAAACAGCAATGAAGCTGTGAGCTAAGTCCTCCATATTCAATAGACTCCTGTGAACCCTGGTGGAGGCCTGGTTGGCCAGCAGTATAGCAAGACCTGGGGGCTCCTGGGCTCAAAGTCAGTGACACAGCCACAGAGGACTAGAGTGGAAAGTGAAGCATCCAGCTGATAAGAAGAGGGCATATGCATCAGAACACCCACACTTGCAGATAATACCCACTTGACCTGGCTTCAATGACTGGAGGATCAGAGCTCAACTAGAAGAAGAAAGAAGAGGGAAAAAAAAGGGTAATCAGAGCTCAACTAGAAAAAGAAAGAAGAGGGAAAAAAAAGGGTAATCTGATACAATTTAATGAACTTGACCTACACATATGGATGCAGTAGCTCAAAACAGGGAACAAATCTTTACAGTGAGGATCATTCCCACCCCCTCGATACACAGGGTAGACAGGAACGGGCAACTTGGACATTGGCTACCCAAAATGGGGGATGGGGGGGGGGCTACAAAGGCAAGAAGTGACTGGCTTACAAGCTTTCAAGAGGAAGCCAAGATCCAGAGGGTATAGAGGAAGGTAGACTCTCCACTGAGCTGTATCCAATCTGTCTGGGCAGGGCTGATGAAAGGAGATGGGGATAGGACTTTTGTGGTACAACAGCGAATAACTGCTATCAGGACTGAATGTGAGGGCTGGAAATGTAGAGGTAAATGTTTTGTAGCAAAAGGAGGGGAGTGGTTGACTTCACAGTCCAGGAGCGGAGATCCCTGGGACCATCAGTGGAGAGGAGCGGAGTGCAGGACCCTACCCAGAGAAACACTGATGCCAGAGATGGAGGCAGAGACAATGACGAGGTGAAATGGAGTGGCTGGGTACTCTAGAACCAGAGAGGGAGAGGAGATTTATGCTGAGGACTGGGAGGCAGGCTTGCAGGATACACCCTTTGGTTGTTTGATGATGCATGGAGGGGACTGTAATCATGGCAATGAAATGATATGCAATAGGATGAATGTAAAGCTAACGTTCTCCCGTGTAAACTATCACATAATTCACAATAAAAACTTTTAAAAAAGTTAAGAGATTCAAGTCCACCCAGAGGCCCCTTGGAAGTAGTCAAGGTATAGCAAAGACTTCTGAAAAATCAGTCATTGAAAACTCTATGGAGCACAAGTCTACTCTGACATCCATGGGGTCACCCTGAGTCTAAATCAACGAAATGGTGATGGATTTGGTTGTTTCGTTTTGCCTTTGTACCTAGTTTGAGAACACTCTATAATTATTCCGGGCCTGAGACGCAGTGTTTCATAAATTAAGATCAGCAAAACCAGGTTAACTAATTATAGAGAAACTAGCAAATCCTTTTTAAATTTCAAAACACTAAGCACAATCATCAACTTTATGAACATTACATTATCCCGCTTTGCAGCTCCTGGAGGAATACAACTTCATTTCTAAACAGGGAAAATGAAGCCTTCCTGAGTGCACCCTACCCTCAAATATTTAATGACAAACCAGTAAAAGAAAACCTTAATTTCACCTGTTCTCGGCACAGACTGGAATCTGAATTCTCAAAATGAGAAATACATTTAGCCAAGCTCATCCACATACTTGATCTTCAACCAATTTCTGTATCCATAAAAAGAGATTAACTCCCTTATTCCTAATTTCCTAAAATCATCAATTACTACTTTACCTTCAAATGTTTTAACTACTGGATTTTACCAAAAATGCTAGTACCAGTTCTTTAGATTTACAATCCTTGGCCTAATACCGAAGATCTCAGATTAAATGTCTCTATATGCAATTAGACAGTTTCCGTGAGCTGTCAGAAACCAGGCCTGAGATGCTCTGCTTCTCAAATTAAGACAGGCAGAACCAGGTTAACTAATTATAGAGAAACTTTGCAAATCCTTTTCAAATTTCAAAATACTAAGCGCAATCATTAACTTTATGAACATTACATTATCCAGCCGTCCAGCTCCTGCCAGAATACAAATTCATTTCTAAATAGTGAAAATTAAGCCTTCTTTAGTGAACAAATAAGTGTGTATATATAATATATATACACACATGAATACACAACAGGGCTTCAAAAAGTTTATGGAAAAATGAATTAAAAGATAGAGGATAGATAATGGAATCTTCCATGAATTTTTGAAGGCCCGTCTTGTGTGTGTATAAGACAAAAAAACCATCAAAATGATCTGAAAACTATACCTGTGACTATAGGTCTGTCCTTTCCTTCTGAGTACAGGGAGCAGGGGTAAAGTTGTGTGAATGGTAATCAACTATACGGAAAACATGGAAAGACACAAGCACATTCCTCAAGTATCCTGGAAGTAGCCTGAGAAGACGCCATCTCTAACCAAAGATATCCTTGATATGTGTCATGCCGGGAGTTCAAACCCACCAGCCACTCCTTGAAAATCCTATACAGGGTCAGAACTGACTTGATGGCACTTATCAACACCACCACCAAGTCAGTTAAAAGCACTCAGCTCCTAATCAAAAGGTTGGCGGTTCAAAACCACCAGCTACTCCATAAAAGAAAACTGTATTTGGTTGCTTAAATTATTATATATTCCTGAGTGTTTCTGTATACATTCCCACCCCACCCCAACCCTACCCCCCTTAAAAAAATTAACAGGGAATGGAAGCAAATACAGATGCATGATGATGCATGAAGGAGATTGTAATCACTGCCATGAAACAATGGTGTAAAGCCGATGTTCTCCCATGTAAACTATGACTCAGTTCACAAAGACAACGTAAAAAAAGAAAAGAAAACTGTAGCAGTTTGCTTCCACACAAATTCACAGCCTTACAAACCCTATGGCAGGGGTGGAAAACAGTTTTTCTGTCAAAGTTTATAACATCATTCACAGGCCATACAAAATTATCAACTTGAAAATTAGCCTGCTATATTTGGTACAACATTTAATAACTCACCACTAATAGTGGTTACGAAGTGGGCTGCTAACCTCAGGGTCAGCAGTTCAAAACTACCAGCTGTTCACGGAAGATGAGGCATTCTGCTCCCGTAAAGATTTACAGCCTCGGAAACCCTGTACAGGGTCACTATGAGTGGGAACTGACTTCACAGCACAACGCAACAACAATTTGATGACTGGAGTCCTGGTGTGGTGATGCGGGTTAATGCGCTGGACTACAAGGTTGGTTTGAACTGTAAAGTCAGAGGTTCAAAAGCTGCTCCTCAAAAACCCTATACAGGGTCACTAAGAGTCAGAACCGACTCAACGGCTTAACAGCACCAACACTGTGATGGCTGGAACTGTGGATGCTTTGACAGGGCCAGACTAAATGATTTTGTGGGTCTTATACAACCCGTGGGCTAGATGTTTCCCACCCCTGCCCTGTGGGGCAGTTCTACTCTATCCTATAGTTGCTGTGAGTCGGAGTTCACTGGATGGCTTGGGTGGGCTCATCTCCACACCACTTAACAGCACTTAGTGCACAGGTCACAGCACACCACCATCTTCACTTCCTCTTTCTGTCCTCTTATATTCAAATATGCAAACCGTAAGTCTCAGATCCCAGGACTCTGAAGGCAGCTTCTAAATATGTACAAACCATATGAAGAGTTCTTTTTTAATATTTAGGGTAACTGGGTAAAGGGCATACAGAATTCTTTGCACTATTTCTTTTTTAAAAAATTTAAGTTTGGGATTATTTCTAAAGTAAAAATTTAAACATATTTTTAAACTTTTCATTTAAAAAATTTCCCCCATCCTTGAATATTTAAAAATGCCTAACTTTACAATCTGAGTTTTAAATCAGGTCTAGAACAGAGCAGATCCTACTTTACTTTTCCCAATGTTGCTAGGCTTCAGCCATTTTCCTCAACTTCTCTTCTTACCTGACATGCTCAATTGCAAGTGCTGTCTGGTCAAACACTCCAGAATCATCGAACACCACCCAGAGCTCCTGCAGGGGCAGCCGGCGTTCTTTCAGATCGAGGAGCTCGTTCATACACTCAGCGGTAAAAGTGTTTACCCGAGACTCACAGAGGTATGGCTCAGCAAGCCTCACTACCGCCTTCAGTCCTAGGAAGTCCACGTCTGTGACCTGCAAGTTACAACCATGCAGTTGGACTCAACGCATGGAAAATCCAATTGAAGACACATATAAAACACTAGTGTTTAAGAAGCATGACAAGAAGGGCAGGAACCCATAACCTAAGGGATAAACTAGACAGGCCAAGCACTTAAGCTCACGGAGTTTACCCTGTAACCAAGAAGGCAGATAAACGAGCCAATAAGACACTGGTGAGGCTGTGACAGACTAACTAGCAGGGGAGCCTGGTTCCCTGGGAGGGCCAGGGGAAGTCACCTGTGAGCTGAAAAGGAAGCCATGTGAAGAGCCAGGAGGGGTGCAAAGGCTTGGCTGTGGAGCAGGAAGAGGCGGGGAGGAAGGGAGCCCCAGGAGATGAGGTAGGAGAGATAGACAGACACCAGGTGCATGATTCTTACATGCTCCCTACTGCAATGAGAAATCGTAAAGCCAACTTGAAGCCCTTGGTAAATGCAACGAATGAATGGTTTTAAGCATATTTCTCTTTTGAAACAATGATTCTGAAAGGGCAGGGGAGGGGACACTTTTATGACCAAATTAGCAGGTATGAATAACCAAAGATATTGGCACAATCCACAAATTTTTAATTTACAAGGAACACTTGCAACCCACTGTGGTGGTTGTTAGATGCCACTGAGTTGGTTCCAACTCATAGTCCTGCAGAGCACAAAGAAGAAAACACTGCCTGGTTCTGCACCATCCTCACAACTGTGGTCATGTTTGAGCCCACTGCTTCCGTCACCGTGTCAGTCTAGCTCATTGAGGGGCTTCCTCTTTTTAGCTGATCTTCCATTTTACCAAACGTAATGTTCTTCTCCAGAGACTGGTCCCTCCTGATAACATGTCCAAAGCATAGGAGACAGCGTCACCTTCCTCACTTCTAAGGATGTACTTCTTCCAAGACAGATTTGTTTCTGCTTCTGGCAGTCCATGGTCTAGTCAATGTTATCTGCCAACATCATTAATTCAAATGCATCCATTTTTCTTCAGTGCCTCCACTGCCCAGTATATAGTCACTGCAGTATGTAATGTCATCTTCTAAAGGAGCTGTAGCAACAACCTGTCTTCACACTCCCTGGTTTAGCTTTTTAGTTTAACAGGCCTTTTTTGTGGTCCAGTTAACAAACACTAAGAAAAATTCATAGTTGTAATTAGAGTGCAAATTTAATGTAAAAGGTCCAGTCAGTTGAAAACTAAGATTGTTTTTTACTATCTGCATGCAGTAGGGCACCTTATCTAGAGATTAAGCACATACTTACAAATTTGTTAGGCAACAAATGGGATAGGTTTAAACTGGTTTGAGCTACTTAATGGGCTACAACTAAGACGGTAGAAGATGAACTGAAACGCCTGTTGGCTTCACAATCAGGGCTCTCTCTCTCTCTCTCTCTTTTTTAATATTCTCAAATCTCTTCTCACTTTATAGTGAAGGTATTTGAGACACCTCATAAACCATTTCTCCTTGTCAAAGGACCGCCTCCTCAGTTGCTTGTAAGATTTGCAGAACACATTATGCACCATAGGGAGGCCTCTTGTGGCTCAGTGGTTAAACTGCTTGGCTGCTAACTGAAAGACTGGTGGTTCAAACTCACCAGCTGCTCTGTGGAAGAAAGCTGTGGTAATCTGCTTCTGTAGAAATGTACAACTTTAGAAACCCTGTGGGGCAATCCTAGTCTGCCCCACAGGCTCACTATGAATCGGCATCGACTTGCTGGCAGTGGAGTTTTTTCCTTGGTTATACGCCATGGCAATTAGATGTGAAAAGCATGCTTATTTTCAATCAGCTCATAAACTTTAATTAAAAATAAGCACTTTGGCTATAAGAGTCTGAAGTAAAGTGCTTTTAGCTAGAGACAAATCCCTTAACAACAGAATTAAATTTACCTCAACCAGCACCTCGAACACATTAGTGTGCCAGACTGCCCGCCATCCAGATGGTTCCAGGACCTTCTCCAAGAACTCAGCTGTGAATTCTCTGACCTCAGAGGCCTTGCAGTCAGCTGCAGACAAATTAAACACTGTAAGAATCGAGACTGCATAAAGCAGAGAAGTTCATAAATCCATTAGGTCCACTTCCGTCAGCACCCACAACTGGTAGCCTCAGGGACTGAAATAGGTAATCTAGTTTAAATGGAAAGGATAAAAACAAAACAAAAAGAGAACCTACTCACCTAAAATGTAATCTTGATACGCTCTGAATCGCTCATAGAACAAAAGTTGACTTGTTTGGAAAATTTCTGGGAAAAGCGTTTTACCTTCTAGCACAAAACTCTGTAAACTTGTAACTGCCTTATCGTAATTGCTACAATCACGGCATGAGTCTTCATCTTGAAACAAACCTGAAAGAACAAAAATGGACAGTCCCAACTCTCCCAGACACAACCAGAGTTTATAAAATGCTTCTTTTTTCCATATCCTTGCCTAGGAATTCCAAGCACAACACATGCTAGGATTTGGTATGCTGTTTTACTTACTTCTATCATTGTCAGATCAATGTGAGAAAGATGTTTAGCTCTGCTTTATTGTCTAGGCAAAGGCTTTCAATTGTGTGGATCATGACAAGCTATGGACAACATTGCAAAGTATGAGTATTCCGGAACACTTAATTGTGCTCATGAGGAATCTGTATATGGACCAAGAGGCAGTTGTTCAAACAGAACATGGGAACACTGAATGGTTTAAAATTAAGAAAGATGTGCGACACGATTGTATTCTTTCACCATACTTATTCAACCTGTATGCTGAACAAATCATCCAAGAAGCTGGGTTCTACAAAGAAAAACGTGGCATCAGGATTGGAGGAAGACTCATTAACAACCTGCAATATGCTGATGATACAACTTTGCTTACTGAATGTGAAGAAGACATAAAATATTTACTGATGAAGATCAAAGAGCACAGCCTTCAGTATGAACTGCATTTCAGTGTAAAAAAAAAACAAAAATCCTCACCACTGGACCAATAAACAACATTCTTATCAACTGAGAAAACACTGAAGTTGTCAAGGACTTCATTCTTCTTGGATCAACTATCAGCACTCACGGAAGCAGCAATCAAGAAGTCAAACGATGTATTGCATTAGGCAAATCTGCTGCACAAGACCTTTTTAAAGTGTTGAAGAGCAAAGATGTCAGCTTGAGGACTAAGGTGCTCCTGACCCAAGCCATGGTATTTTCAATCACCTCATATGCATGCAAAAGCTGAGCAGTGAATAAGGAAGACCGTAGAAGAATTGATGTTTTTGCGTTATGGTGTTCGAAGAGAATACTAATACTGAAAGTGCTGCCAAAAGAACCAACAGATCTGTGTTGGAAGAAGTGCAGCCAGAGTGCTCCTTAGAGGCCAAGATGGCCAAACTTCGTCTCTCATACTTCGGACATATTGTCAGGAGGGACAGGCACTGGAGAAGGATATCATGTTTGGTAAGGTGGAGGGTCAGAGAAAAAGAAGAAGACCCCCAATGAGATGGATTGGCCAAGTGGCAGCATCGATGGATTCAAGCATGGCAACAGTAGTGAGGTTGGCCCAGGATCGGGCAGTGTTTCGTTCTGCTGTGCATAAGGTCGCTATGCATCAGTACCGACTTGATGGCACCTAACAACATAAATGTCAGAAAAAAAAAAAAATCCCCAAACTTAAAAACATCTCAAAAGCCAAGCTCTGCTTCAAAACACTAGGCGCCTATAAGAGCCTTCACAGATAAGGTTTTTGTTGTGTGAGGTTTGAAGGGAGGCAAAGGGTTTATTATTCCTTGATTCATTTGAAACCATCCAAGTTCTATTTAAAAGGATAGCAGCTCTGATGTTTACTAAGGAGTCCGCTAACACAATGGTTAAGAACTTCCACCAGCAGTTCCATAGGAGAAAAGACTTGGCAAGAGTCCCCTATAAAGATTGTTGATGTTAAGTACCGTTGAGTCTGTCCCAATTCATAGCGACCCTGTATAGGGTTTCTGAAGAGCTGCTGGTGAGTTTGAACCACCAACCTAGTGGTTAAACAGACCTTGTGGTCCAGTGCTTATCCTACAACCAAGACTCCCCTGTCAAGATTACAGCCTAGGAAACCCTACTGAATTCTGCCATATGGGGAGCGCAGTAGCTTGTAAGATAAGCACTAGACTGCAAACCACAAGGTCAGTGGCTCAAGCCTAACAGCCACTCTGAGGAAGAAAGATGAGGCTTTCTGCTCATCTGTCAAGTGGACAGTGGTGGTTCAATGGGAGAATCTCATCTTTCATACAAGAGATCCAGGTTCAATTCCCAGCCATCAGTGAAGGTTTATATGTATTGCTATATGAGTCCTGGTGTGGTGCTGTGGGTTAACGCTCCAGACTGCAAAGTTATTTGAACTAAAAGTCAGCAGTTCAAGCTCACCAGCAGCTCCTCAGAAACCTTATACAGGGTCGCTATGGGTCAGAACCGACTGGACGGCACTTTACAACAACAAATGTTAAACAGAATTCAGAGGAGCTCCCAGACAACAATGAACTAGGAAGGCAAGAAGTAGGAAGAAAGACCTGGTTATCTATTTTGCAAAATCAGTCAACAAAAACCACATAGGTCACAACACACTGATCCCCACTGACAATAGGGTTGGCCCAAAACTAAAGACAGCACAGGACCAGGTTCGGGAATGCCAATAGGCATTAGCTAACAATAACATGATCTTTACTATAGCTTAAAGGCTCTTGTAGTCATTTCATTTTTACAAAAACAATTCTATAAAACTGCATTAAAAATAGGGCTATAACCGATTTTCTATAATCCTTCTCATATGAGCTGAAGCCTGCCTTTATTTTCTACATCAGCCAGTCAATGGCCCCTCAAAAAACAAGAATGAGAGATTCTTAATCAAGCATAAGATTTACTTCACTGAGGCTACTAGGCTCCTCCTCACTAATTTCAATGACTGTGTCTAAGGAAGTGATTAGAAAATGCTAATCACTTTAGGTTTGGGTTGTATGTAATTATGTTTCCAAAGGCAGGATTCTGCCAGTGGTGTATCTAACTCTGTGTGATACAATGTTTTTAATCAATGAAATGTTTGGACTGAAAGAGTAGCTCCCTGTGGGGGTTTCAGGGAGGGTAACTGAGAAGCCACTTGACATTGCCCCTCCACCCCCAACACCACTTTTATTTGTTCCTTCCTCCCATTTCTTTGCCCCTGTTCTGGTCACCAGAATCAACTTGACCTCACAGATGATCCAGACCTAGTCAAGGGTCTCTAGCTCAGACAAAGCCGGATGCACAGGAGTCTTGAAGAGCTGAAGCAACTTATTAGCTGTGTGACAATATCTCATTACCTCAGCTTCCTTGGTTATAAAAGGAGGATAAAAATAGTATGTCTACTTCAATTAAAGTAAGAGAATTAAATAACAGTCCCCATTATTTGGTAAGGTCCATTGTTGTTGTTAAGTACCTCGAGTCAGATCTGATTCATAGCCACCCTGTACAGGGTTTCTGAAGAGCGGCTGGTGAGCCTGATCTGTAGACCTTAAGGTTCAAACCAACTTTGCAGTCCAGCGCATTAACCCACAAGCACCACACTGTCTATACTTGAGAACCTAAAGGTTGGTAATTGGAACCTACAGCAGTTCCACTGAAGAAGAGGCCCACCTATCAGCTCCCCTGGTTAAGATAGGTTGGTAAACGAAAAGGTCAATGATTTGAACCCACCAGTTGTTCTAGGAAAGAAAGGTGTGGGCAGTCTGTAAAGATCACAGGCTTGGAAACGCTGTGGGGCAGTTCTAAGTTCTACTCCATGCTATGATGTTGTTGTTAAGTGCTGTCAAGTCGGTTCCAACCCTTACAGACCCTACAGGGTCACTATACGTCTGAATCGACTGGACACCACACAACAATCAGTTTCCCTAAGATGACAACCAAGAAAGTCCTATGGAGCAGTTCTCTGAAACTCATGGTGTCCCCATGAATCAGAAGCAACTTCCAGGCAACTAACAACATCACTTGGGGGAGCGGTGGCTCCATAGAAAAGCACTGGACTGCGAACCACAAATCAGTAGTTCGAGTCCACCAGCCATTTCGAGGCTTTCTGGTCCCACAAAGATATACAGCCTTGGAAACCTGGACAGGTCGCTGAGTCGGAACCAAATCCACGTACTTAACAACAACATCACTTCGTATACCAGTGCATGAGTATTTGGCACATCAACAACACTACATCAGTAAATTCCTTAAAGCCATTTTCAATGTAATGACACTACACATCGTATTTCTTTTCATCTTCACAATTCTGTGCGACCACTGCCTCTAATTTCCTGATGAGAAAGCCGAGCCAAGTGACTTTGGCCAGTTCACAAGGTTAGTTATTAGTGGATTTAAGGTGTCCTTACGTTTTCTCACGTTGCCTGGACTTGATTTTCCACTAGACAATACTGGGAGAGTAAAAACCTGAAGAAGCTTCAAATGTCAGGAGGCAAAAAAATAAATAAAAGAGCAATGAAATCCGAACGAAGAGGTAGAAAGGCCTGGGAATTCGAAAATCAAGGTCCTAGTTCAGATTTTTACCAAACGGGCTCCCAAACCCTAGGGATACCAACTACCGTCAGTGCTGGGGGAAAGCAGGCCGAGGGTTCAAGCTTCCTCTTTTTGGGGACCTAGAAGTGTGGCTCACGGTCTCCTCTGATATGCCAGTGGAGCGAAGGGCCTTTTCCGCGGACACAGATGGGCAGAGGCCCTGAAACCCAGCTGGGATTTCCTACTCAGTGGGACTCACTCCAGTCTCCTAGAAAGCCGAGATAGCAGAGGGCGAGGAGACCAGAGTAGCCCGGGATCTCCGACGCTGACGTCCCGAGACTGGTCGGGGTCTAACACAGTCCTCAGCCCCACCCGGGGCGACGCTACCAGAAGTTCTCCGGCGCCCCCGACCGCAGCAAAGATGCTCGGCCGCTAGGAGGCGGATCCCCAGGCCCGGGAGAGGCGTATGCTCACCCTTCCCTACGCCGGCCGGCTCCTCCTCGGCGGTCCAGCCAGTGTGCTCCCGCTCCGGCGCCATTGCTTCTGCCTCTAGACCGCCACCCGTCACCAAGCTGCTCGCCATTTCAAATTTCCCCGGGCAGCCGCTTCAACCAGTAGAGCGATGACGCTGCCACTTCTGATTGGATACGCCGGCAGAGGATCTCGGGCCAATCAGAAGAAGCTGTGCGCTCCTCTGTTTCCACCCCCTCGACCACCTTAAAGGAGCGCTCGCTATGGGTCGGAACCGACCCGACGGCACTTAACAACAACAACAACAACAAGTGGCGCTGGCGAGTAAGCCACGTACTGATTGCTAACCTGAACGTAGTGGGCGGTTCAGCAAGAGAAAGCTGAGATTTTCTACTTCCGTAAACATCGGGCTAATGCGCTGGATTGAAAAGTCTGTTTGAACCGCAAAGTCGTCGGTTCAAGCTCACCTGCCGCTCTTTGGAAACCCTATACAGCGACCCGACTGTATTTCACTTAACAACAACAAAGATTTAAAGGCGTCCTGGTGTGGCTCTCTAGGACAAGCACTGGGCTGTTAACCACAACATTAGTAGTTCAAACCCTCCAATGATTTAGGTTTGTGGATTTGTATTGTGGATTAGGTGAAGGTTTACAGAGTAAATCAGTTTTCCATTCATCAATCAGACACATATTGTTTCATATCATTGATTGTAACCCCCAGCAGCACTCTTCTCTCTTCTGGAGGAGTCCTGGTGTGGCGCTGTAGGATAAAGGTGGATCTGAACCTCGAAGTCGATGGATCTAAGTCACCAGCTGCTCCCCAGAAACTCTAGGGTCCTATGAGTCGGAACTGACTCTTTGGCACTTAACAAACAAACATCCCTCTTCTATCTTGTGTTTCCCATTTCCACTCCTTCTTTCCTATCCTTCCCTGCCCTTTGAACTTTGTCTGTAAACAAATGCTTCCCTTTTGATCTCATATGGTTGATTGTTCTGAGAAGTGTGCACCACCCTAGTATTATTGTTCGCATTATAGACCTATCTATTATTTGGCTGTAAATTGGGTCATGGAGGTGAGTTTGGTTCCAGGCTTAAGGGTGATTAAGGGCCATAGTCTCAGGGATTCTACCACTGTCTATCCAATCAGTAAACCTGGTCTTTTTAAAAATTATTTTGAATTTTGCTCCACATTTTTTCTCCCACTCTAGCCAGGGCTTTCCAAATGGCCAGTAGTTATAACTGGAACTATCTAGTTGTTCTGGTCTCAGGATCCTGGAGACTGAGGTTCATGTGGTCCTTCAATCCTTTGGACTAATTGTTTCCATGTGTCTTCAATTTTCTTCACTCCTCTTTATTGTGTTTGGGAAGACACGGATAGTTGTTGCACCTTAGATAGATTATGGATTGATTAAATAACAGGTAACGTAGTGGTTACAAATTGGGCTGTGAACCTCAAGGTCAGCAGTTCGAAACTACCAGCTGTTTCACGGGAGGATGATGAGGCTTTCTGCTCCCATAAAGATTTACAGCCTCGGAAATCCTGTACAGGGTCACTATGAGTCGGAACCAACTCCACAGCACACCACCACTACCATCACCGCTTACAAAAGTCTCTCCCTTGATGGAGTTTATGTTAAGAAATAAAATTTATATTTTTTATTTTTATCTTTTACTTCCATTTTTCCACAAACTTTTTGTTGTCTCCCCCTATACTACCATCCTCCTGCCTTCTTGCCTACGTGGTTTCTATTGGGAAATCAGAAGTGTCTTACTGATTCTCCTTTTTAAGTAATTTTAGCTTATACTAAGCTGTTTTCAGGAATCTTTTCCTGCCTTTGGTTTTGGAAAGCTTGATTATGATACGTCTTTGTGATTTCCTTTTTTTTCCCCTCAACTTTTTATTGTTAATTGAGTGGTTTGTTGTTGTTGTTGTTAAGTGCCATCAAGTTGGTACCAATTCATAGTGATCCTATGCACAACAGAACAAAACACTGCCCGGTCCTGGGCCAACCTCAAAATGGTTGCCACACTTGAGCCCATTGATGCTGCTAATCCATCTCTTTGGGGGTCTGCCTTGTTTTCTCTGACCCTCCACCTTACCAAACATGATATCCTTCTCCAGAGACTGGTCCCTCTTGACAATATATCCGAAGTATGAGAGACCAAATTTGGCCATCCTGGCCTCCAAGGAGTACTCTGGCTGCACTTCTTCCAACACAGATCTGTTGGTTCTTTTGGCATCCCATGGCACTTTCAATATTCTCCTCTAACACCATAACTCAAAAGCATCAATTATGGTCTTCCTTATTCACTGCCCAGCTTTCGCATATGAGGTTATTGAAATACCATGGCTTGGGTCAGGCGCACCTTAGTCTTCAAGCTGGTATCTTTGCTCTTCAACACTTTAAAAAGGTCTTGTGCAGCAGATTTGCCTGATGCAATAAGTCCTTTGATTTCTTGACTGCTGCTTCCATGCGTGTTGATAGTTGATCAAAGAAGAATGAAGTCCTTGATGATTTACAGAGCAAATAATCAGTTTTATACCCAACAAACCATGTATTTTGCTTCATTGCATGGTTGCAATTTGTTCCTTGATATGAAGAATCTATGTGCCAACAGTTAACAGTATTTAGCTCTATTCACTTTATTGTGTTCCTCCCAGTGTCTCCCATTACCTCCATCTTTCCTCTGCTAACCCTCTCATGTTATATATTGCCTGCCCTGCCACCTGTGTTAACATGTGTATACCCTCTAGCCTGTTAATAATTTTCCCTCTCCCACACCATAACCATCATAGATTGTTTCTTTTATCAATAAAACCTTTTTTTTAAAACTTTCTACAACATTGGTCTTATACACTATTTGTCCTTTTGTGTTTGACTAATTTCACTCAGCAGGTTCAACCATGTTGTGAGGTGTTTCACAGGTTCATCATTACTCTTCAACATTTTGTAGCATTCCTTTGTGTGTATGTATCAAAGTTTGTTTAACTATTCTTCCACTGATGGGTATTTAGGCTGTCTCCATTTTTTTTTTTTTTAATATGTCTCTTGTAAACAACATACTTAAGGATCTTGTTTTCTTACCCATTCTGCTCTCTATGGCTCTCTCCTTCCCCTCCCCCTCATTCTGCAACTAAGCACATTCATGAAAACTTGTAAACTAGCCACTTCATGCCTTTGTAAACCTGCCCTCCCCTCCATTTTTGATTGCCAATGTCTAAATTTCTCATCCCTATCAACCCAGTGGTTACGAATCGGGCTGCTAACTTCAAGGTCGGCAGTTCAAAACTACCAGCCGTTCCGTGGGAGAAAGATGAGGCTATCTGCTCCCGTAAAGATTTATAGCCTCAGAAACCCTGTACAGGGTCACTATGGGTCAGAACCGACTCCACGATACTTAACAACAACAACAAATCAACCCAGCACAATGAGGAAACAAAGTTATTCCTTGATATGAAGAATCATTTCATTTCATAGACATTCATAGGCAAGTTTAGTTCATCAAACTGTAGCAGTTTGCATTTGTTCTCAGTATGCAACATCTTTACCTTCCTTGGTTCAAGTTCTGGTCAACTAGCCATCCAAGCTAGATCAAAGGGGTACTTACTAGCTGCAAGCTTGGCAGAGTTCACATATACCTCCCTGCACTTCAGACCAGCTGGCTGCTTCACTCTCAGCCTTAGTCTCCAGGGCCTAGGTCAGTCAGTGCCCATAGGCTCAGGGGTTCACACATCTTAGTGATTTTCTTTTAGGGTCTATCCAGTTTGGGTTTCATTAAGCCTCTTGAAGGCTTATCTTCTCATTTTTAATGATATTAAAGAAGTTTTCCTCCACCAAATCTTCAACAATTTTCTCAATTTTTTTTTTTTTTTTTTTAGTCTCTACCTGTTCTGAAATTCCAATCACACAAATCAGTTCTTTCTCTTGATGGTGTCCCATATAATTCTTAGGCTTTTTTGTTTTTGTCTTTGTTTGCATTGTTTTTTCTAGTTTATTTTCTAACAGATTAGTATCAAGAGATTCACTCTTAATCTCTTTAATTCTGTCTTCCATTGATTCAGTTCTACTCCTTTGCCCTTTCAATGTGTTACTTATTTCTGAAATCATAGTATTAATCTTCTAAATTTTATTTTGTGTTTTTGTGTGGTTTCTAATTTTTTTCATTTATTTTGTCATTTTGTTCTTATAGCATTTGCCTGAGGTCTTCTAAAGTTTTGTCTGTATTTGCCTCAGCCTTTCTCTCAATCCCTTAAAGATACCTGAATGTTATTCTCTTTAATTTTTTATCAGGTAGTTTCAATACCATTTCTTCCTGAGGAAAGTTTTCTGGTTGTCTATTTTGATAACTTCTCTGAGCCATTCTGTTTTGTTTCTTCATCTGAACTGAGGTTATCTGTTTTCCTGAGATTTGCATTTAATTGGTCATTGTGTTATGATGTGTTTTGCTTAGGTTTGTTTGTCTATTTGGTTATTGCTTTATTTTGTTTTGGTATATCCAAGCAAGTAGATGGTGCTCCTGCCTGCAGAGGAGGCCACAGGGGGTAGGGAGCTTGGTCCCAGAAGGAGTTCCTCTCAGCCCAAAGGGTGGCTGGACCAATGTGCCTGACCTGACACTATGCATTCTACTGGCCTGAGGAAGTGAAGAGCACATGCCTCCACATGCGGGGATGTTGTATACCCAGCCTCTGATCTCAAACAGAGGAGGGACTGTGAGGGGGACAGTCACTAGCCAATAGGTGGGTGGGAGTGGGTGCTGTCCCCATTTCTGTCCACTGGAAGTTGTAAGGAATAAGTAGATGGCAAGTGTGGGCTCTGATGTGTGGCAAGTGGAACCAATTATCAAGTTGCTGCCCCCATTGAAATGCTGTTTGGAAAAATTCAAAATGGTCATACTTTATTAGGTCAGTTGACAATTCATTGTTGTTTGTCTCTATTGTTTTTGTTTTGTTTCTTTGAAGTTCAGGGTTCCAGGATTATCATTTGTTTCATTTGATTGTTCCTGTCCTGGACAGCTTGTCGGCCCTACTCTGTCATCTTGCCAGAAGTCCCAGGTAAGAATGATTTTGTACCTCTACCAACTCACCAGGTCGACTATTCTTCTCAGCCTAGC